CATAGTTCGATCAGATAATGTCATGACATAAAAAACAGGGATGTGAGATTTCAAGCATACAACGTATTTCATTCTCCGTTTTACTGCCGCGGATCATCAAAAAGAACAGCGTGATGTTGCACCAGATTTATCTAAATAATTCTTCACTTTGATTCGGATCACTTGATCGTCCAGTTCAAGATTTTCAATCTGAAGCATTACCAACAATTATGATGCACATATCTGGGGAACGTCTCGCTATTTATTCTCAATGTTGAAGCGAATCATTAAACTAATTGTTTAGATTTACTGCAGAAAGAACTTGATTTCAGATCCCTGTTTCACTTTTCAAATACATGTTCATCAGCAATCTCATCTATTCGTATAAATTTGTACCCATTTATGCCTGATTTTCAATTTTCGAAAATGCTTTATAACAGAAAGATTGTGTAATATTTCATATATTTTCAATACTGACCAAAATTCGTCTCAGAATATGATAGAATTGGTATGTCCCAGATATGGCACCCTAGAACTGACCGGGTACATGTACGTAAACTATTATGTGGGTGTCAATACGAGGTAAAAACAATATTCTACTTGCATTCTTTTTTAATAACATCTAAGTTGAATAATAAGTCAATTTAAGTAAATATGCATTTCATTTGGTAATATAATTAGATTTCAACCAAGCTAGACAAATTTTCATAATCGACTTCTCAGTCTTGGATTATCATTATGGATAGGCCTGCATATAAAAGTCTATAACAAAGCAATCACCCCTACATCACGTTTTGTTCACATGTTTTGTTCACATGTTTAGTTTTATTACCACAATGTGCGCATCTCAATTGGGTAGCATTTGGCCTAACAAAGTGATTTATACCATCCAATCTAAGAGCACTTGGCTCTCTCTTGTGGTCGACCGCGAAGTCTTGCCTACCTGGAAGATCGTTTAACATATACTTGAGAGATAGTTCGTCGGAATTTCCAGTAAGTCTAAGGACTGGTCTTAGCTAATATCTTTAGCCCTGTACAGATGCTTGCTGAACACATAGATCAAGGCAGTATTAGCTTGCGAGGCAAAGTGACATACGCGCACTGGCAGCTGTCTGAAATGATAAAACAGTCTTTAGTGACTAAAGTACGAATTTTCTCATATTGGAAAAAAAAAATATTAGTTTGAATTCAATTTCATATATATGCCAGTTATTTATGCTGTGTAATTACACATAATTTTTTAAAATCAATATCAATAACCCTAATACAACAAACAATTAAATCACACAGCTCTAATCAAGGGCAAAAAACAACTTTTGACGCGTTTTAACCA